ATGGAAATGAAATTTATTCTTAATATAATCAGGAGAATTTGGATCGTATAGAATGGAATAGAGGGTACAAAGCATACGGACATTCCTACGATAGCGGATAGGTAGCCATTTAAGCTGAGAACGATAAGAAGAGATATGATCGAATTTGCGGAGATTAAAAATAAACCGGATAGAGTTGTTGATAAGACGATCCAATTTGTTTAAAAGATCTACATTCATGTCAGAGCAACACACATCGGCGTAATCAATGGTGGGAAGGACTAAGGATTGGATAAGCAGGATTTTGGTACTAATGGGGAGGAAATTTTTAAGCCTGTATAAGTTACGTAGTGTCACTGTAGTTTTACGACTGATCTCGTTAACTTGTTTGTTCCAGCTAAGAGTACTGTCCATCAACAATCCTAGATTTTTAACATGCGCACTGTAGGTAATAGTTTGATTGCCGAAGAGAACTGGAGGCAAAGTGCCAAACTCAATTTTGCTAAGTTGTTGTTTGCTTCCAAGGATTATAGCCTGACACTTGGAAGGATTAATAGAAACACCAAACTTTTTGGACCATTTGAGAATATGATCGAGATCAATATTCAGATGATCGATGGCCTCACCAAGCTCAGAAGCTACAGCTTGAGAGTATACCTGAAGATCATCCGCATATAGATGGTAAGAGCATTTGAGATTTGTAGTGATAAAATCAATAAAGATAGAAAAAAGTAAAGGAGACAAAATTCCGCCTTGCGGAACGCCAGCGACAAGCTCGCACCAGTCAGAAAAAGACTGGTTTACACGGACTGCTTGCTGACGACCACGAAGATAAGAGGCAAACCATTTCACGACTGATGATGAAATCCCAAGATGTGCAAGGATGGCGAGTAGGATGTCGTGATCAACCGTGTTAAATGCGTTGGAAAAATCAACCAAGACCAGAACAGTTAATTTGGATTGTTCCATGCCCTCCCTCACATCCTCAGTGATTTTCAGTAGAGCAGTAGTAGTGCTGTGTCCAGGACGAAAACCTGATTGGTAAGGACTCAACAGTTTGTTAGTCAATACAAAAGCAGATAATTGTTTGTGGACAACAGCTTCTAAAATTTTTGAGAGGAAGGGCAGGATTGAAATAGGTCTAAAGTCCTTAGGGAGTTGTGGGGAGGAAACTTTAGGAAGGGGAAGCACAAATGCTTTAAGCCAGGATGTAGGAAATTCGGAGGAATGTAGAGAAGAATTGATGATGTGAGTAATGATAGGTAACAAATGTTCGAGTAAGAGAATAATCATAATCCTACTCACATCATCAAAACCAATACAATTGGATTTAATTGAGGAGATTATCTTGTGGACTTCATCATCAGTAACTGGCGAAAATAAAAATTCATCAATAGGACGTTTAGGCCATGAAGTTATTTCAGCTAAAGAAATAGATTTCTGAAAATCATTCAATGTGGGAACTGAGGAAAAGTGCCTATTTAGGTCATTTAATGAGATAGATGAGGAAAAATCATCAGACTGTTTGCACAGCCCAAGTGACTTTAGAAACTTCCAGGTATTGGCCGAAGAGGTATTTAGAATGTTCGAGTGGATATGACGGCGTTTAGCAGCTCTTACCATATAGTTGCAACGATTGCGCGCAATTTTGAAAGCCTTCCAGTTCTCTTCACAACGATCCCTTTTGTAAACTCTAAATGCACGATTACGCTTTCTCAAAGCCATGCGCACTCCCGTAGTTATCCAGGGAGCTGGCTGTTTTTTAGCTCTGACAAGGTGAACCGGAGCATGCTTGTCAAAGATTTGGAGTATATATTGGTTAAAAACGAACACCTTATCGTTTATTGAAGAGGCGGACAGTACGCATGACCAATCTAAATCAGTCACTTCCTTCCCTAAAACAGACGTGTCAACTTTAGCAAAACTACGCAGACGAACGACGGTAGGCTTGGGCTTGAAGGTTTTTATGTTGTAGGAGATGTAAATGAGATCGTGTCTGGAGAATCCAGGAGCAGGAAATTGACCATGTTTTAATATGAACTCAGGTGAGGACACATAAATATGATCAAGCCAGGTGTCATGGGAGTCATTGTTAGTGTGGGTAGCACTAAGGGGTAACACTGAAAGGCCCACCGACTGCACAATATCGCGTAGCTTACGAGATCTGTGAGTGTCTTTGAGCAAATCAGTGTTGAAGTCACCCATGATAACATGATGTGCGTGCTCCGCCATAATGTTCTCGAAAATAGACTCGACGTCATGGAAGTAATCAGTGGAAGGGGGACAATATATAACACCGAGAACAATCTTACTTCCCCTAACATCAACCGCCACGAATAAATATTCAGCACCACCGGGCGCGGCAGAGGTAGCTAAAGTTTTATAAGAGAAGCCACTGCGTAAGTAAATAGCAACCCCTCCACCTCGCCTGTCAATACGATCGTTCCGTATAAGGAAATACCCCGGTAAACTAATAGAAGTGGACATCACAGAGGGTTTTAACCACGTTTCAGAAACCAAGATCGCGTCGACAGTATTCATATTAAAGGTATTCATCAATTCACTATGATGTTGGGGTAAACTTTGAGCATTAATATGACAAATGTTTAGATTACGGTGTGTGTTTACTAATTCATTGCAAATATTTGTAGAAAGAGATGCATCTAACAGGGACATATCAAGAGACTCAAAAGATTCATTAGAACTGTGGGCCGAGTAAAAGGATTCATTGTCAGACATTAAAATATGTAAATGTAAATAAATTAGAAATATATATATACATATATATATATATAAATACTTAATAAAATAAAAATAATATTATTACACTATATAAAACAAAAATAAGTAAAGATAAAAAGAACGCGTTGCACCAACACTCATACCTTGCACTAACCGCCGGCCAACTGCAATATAAAAAACAATTTACAATAACTGAGAAACGTCTTAAAAATTACATACGGAAAGCCCACATGAATTAAATATTCATAGAAAACTTTAAGCTACATTACACTAAAATTTAAATAATAATAAATTAATAAAATACAGTCAGTGAGTCTCAAAAGTGTGGGTATCCAAACACCAAAAGAATTACGACATTATTGGGTATCAATCACAAGTGACAGCGTGCTGCTGACATAAAATGACAAGTTGTAACTAAGCGTCACTGTCACTGATCTGTGGTCATTGTCTTCATGACATAAAATATTTAAATTAACTACTTTTATGTGAATACAAAACAAAAATAAAGTGGGTGAGACAAAAACAAAATAAAAGATTAATAATCACCGTAATAACAGAGTAAAACTACTGTTTTGACCTCACGGTGCGCTTAGAGCGCGCATTAGCTGCGTGTGCTGGCTTGACAGTATCAGCAACTACCGATGCAGGCAAACTTGACACTGTTGAAATGGCTTCGAGATTCTCAAAACTTGAGATACGCTGACGTCCTCCAGAAGCAGTCTTGGCATAAATGCTACCGTTGAATGTCCAAACCTTTGTAATACCAAGCCGTCTTCGAGCTTCAATAAATAAGAGTTGTCTGCGTCTGGTCAAAAACTCGGCAAGAACAAACTGGGTACCCTTCAACTGAGATTTTTTCGACCATATGTCTAGCTTAAGAGTGGGATTGCAGGGTCTAAAAACAATTGGCCTATATCGCCCCTCCGTGATGGCTCCCATCCGATAACAGTCAACTATATCAGCTTCACTGACTGTAACACCAATATGATCCTGTAGTATTTTAGTTACAGCAGTGGTTAGCTTGACATCATTGCTCTCAGGAACACCACTCAGAATAAGGTGTTTGCGACGGTGACGCATCTCAATGTCATCATTGGAAATAATGAGTTCAGTGATTTGTTGTCTTAGTAGAGTGAAAATAGTGAGCATGAGCTCCTTAAACTCACTGAACTGTTGCTGCATCTGAGTGATGGTTGGACTCGGAGATGATGCAATCTTCAGCTGACTCTCGAGCTCTGACATCTTCTTGAGTAAGACAGCCTCCATGGACTTCTGAATGGATGCTACATCAGCAACACTGGCCATTGTATCCGGTGGTATGGTGAATAACTTGTGAATTGTTCCAAAGTAGTGAATTTGAGAAATAAGTTGCAGTGGCAGGCGGGTTAGTGCAAAATAATTTAACTATAAATGCATGTAGGTTGCTACAACCGCTGGTAGGTGAAATTCAGTGTATAATATACAGGAATTAATGATATAAAAGTAATAATATGTAAATTTTGATAATAATATAAATTAATAATGAGGATGGAATATTTTATTGACTGCACAGTGCAACTACCCGCCAAAAAAAAAAAAAAAAAAAAAAAATGTTTTGTTTAATTCATATCCAACTACTTAATGTCAAATCCGATGATACAAGACTTTTTGCTTCGTCAAAGGCCACTTGTTCTACAACACTCCACACCCAGGGTTGTTTTGAGTCCAATAGTCTGTACAATGGTTCCAGAATAGTTGCCTTGTCAGGCAAGAATTTTTCATAAGAATTGTACAGGCCCAAAAATGCCCTTAATGATACCTTATTCTGGGGTGCAGGTTTCTCTTTTATCTCCTTAACCTTTAATGGAGATGGATGTAGTCCTTCGCCATCAATCATGTGTCCTAAAAAGGTTATGCTGTCTGATGCAAAGACACATTTTTTTTAAATTAAGGCGAAATCCCATAGAATCCAGTTTACCCAATACCATACATAATCTTCCATTATGTTCCTCCATATTTTTTCCACAGACAGCAATGTCATCGAGCAAACATGCTACTCCTTCCATGTTAGCAAATGCTGTTGACATTAAACGCTGGAAAATTGCTGGTGCTGCACTCACACCAAATGCCAAACGGTTCATCCTCATTAATCCCATGTGGGTATTTAGTGTTAATAGATTAGCTGTCTTTTTATCCACTTTCACCTGTGTATATGCTTGCTTCAGGTCAAGTTTACTAAATACTCGTCCTCCACTTTGCAAAAGCTTCGACTGATGTGGGCAGTGGGTATGTGTCTGTATTTATAGCAACATTAACTGTGGCACGATAATCCCCACATATGCGTAAGCTGCCATCCTCTTTTTAACAACACTAATAGGTGTGGCCCATTTTGAATACTTCACTGGTGTCAAAACGCCATCATCAATCATTTGTATTAAAGTAGTTTCCACCTGTTGCTTGAGTGGAAATGGCACTGGTCGAGCTTTGAAATATTTTGGTGGCATCTCAGGCCGTACATGAAAAGAAACCTCTGGACCAGTATATTTTCCTAAATCATTCTTGAATAAACTTGGAAATTTATTTGTGAGGGATGTTAATTCATCATAGGTCCAGCACAATCCAGAAATATGTATCGCCAGAGGCTTGAACCAATTCCTTCCTAATAAACTTGGCCCTTTGCCTGTTATCACCAACAGCTCACATTGTGCCTCTTTGCCACCAAGAGTAGCTCGAACCTTAGCCAGTCCTAACACCTGCAGTGGTTCACGCGTCCATATCGCCAATTTTATGTTGGTAGGAATTAGTGGGGGTGGTGTAACCCATAATTTGTGGTAAGTTTCTTCTGATATTATTGTTCTTGAAGCTCCAGAATCTATTTCCATAGAAAGATTCACTCCATCTATTCTCACCTCTGCTTTAATTACTGGGAGGTTATTCTCCCCACAATTATACACACCCAACATCTCTTCGGCCAAGGATTTTAAGCTTCCCTCACCACATTCTGTAGTCTGGTGTACTTTTGCCAGTCTCTTTGCACACGCAGAAGCAATGTGTCCATAACGCTTACAGAAGTAACACCTTGCTTTAGCGAAAGGGCATCGTTCACCAGTTTTGTGTAATTTTACACAATGTGGACAGTCATTCGATTTTATCCTACCAATTTCCATAGGTTCCGAAACTTGGAATAGAGTTTGCTTCTGCACCTTGGTATCGGGGTATAAATCCAAACATGTGGCTTGATAGTTGAGACACAACTGAAGAGCACTTTCATAAGTAAGATCCTTTGTTCTCAATAATTCCCTTTTCAAGCGCACATCATTAACCCCTAATACCAGCCTGTCCCTCAACTGACGTTGTAAGTCCGAAAAGTTGCACTTCACAGCTAATAAACTTATAGCTTCTACAAAGTCCTGAATACTTTCACTTTGTAATTCATGACGTTTATGAAATTTTTCCGTTTGTAAAATTTCATTAATTTCCTGTTCATAAAATTTGTCCAAAACTTGCAAAATTTGTGAATATTCCACTTCAGTTGATCGATGTGGCACTAATAAGGATACAATTAAACCATAAGTCTCTTTTCCACATTGAGATAAAAACAATGAACGAGCTTTATCAATGTTCTGTTCACCATAGCCAGCGGCATCGAGAGCACACAGTAATTGTTCTTTATAGTCACTCCATTTGTCTGTTTTTGGATTAAAATGTCCCGGAAGCACTATATTATTAATATTTGACATCATTTTAGCAAAATTTCATTTATTTTCCTCAGTCGCCATTAAAAGATACAACTTGGTGGAGATTGGATGCAAAACTACATAAATCAATTTACAAATAATAATCAAACTACCCATAGTTTACATACATAACAATACACATTGTGAAATGCATTTTGAAGTATGATGAGTTCTTAAACAATTAAAGTAGAGTTTATGTTGAAAAACAAAGGATTTTCTTTGTTCCGGAGACATTGCATCAAATTTAGAACAGTAATATAAGCTATGTTTATCCTGACAGCAAGGACAAATAATTGTTACTAAGTTTATTTTTATTATTTAATTCAATGACTGTTAATGTACTACTAGTAGAAGCCCTATGTATAGAAACACTAACATTTTCTAAAACATGTAATTGATTTTCCAAACATTTAATTAAATTCTCAAATGTAGGTATAGTTTTAATGTCAACTTTATCATTGCCTTTTAATTCTCCTATTTTAAGAAAAATGTTCTTTACTAAAAATTAATATCATAACGAAATTGTGATAAAAAATATTTCAAAGTATTTTTATATACATTAGGATGTGTATTACAATAAAAACTAAATTAAAGTAGGTAAAAATTACACAAAAACTATTTAAAAAAAGTTTAACACAAATTACGTAACAAATAACGAAACGCCGAGCCGATGTCAAAAGTGTTTACCAACTATAGTCATATTTTTAATTAGACGAAGTCAACTGACGTTTAATGTGTTGTCAGTATTTGATGAAATAAAAATAGTGTTGTGACAAAGTGAATAATTGAAAAAACTCCCGAATTAATGGAATTGCCTCGATTGTCTAGTCTAGTGAATAGTTAGTGTTACGAACTGCCGATATCGGGTACGGGGTTCGAATTTTAGCCGTGCTTTATACATACCAACAAGTTTTCGACAACTATGTTCCTCTAGTATCTACCTATACTGAATACAGAGTATTTGAAACATGAAGAAAAAAATTGCGAGGAAACTTTTAAGACTGTCCTATTTACAATACATCATGTAGTTAAAACTATAGATGTATAAAATATAACAATATATAACATAATATAGTTAGGTAATAAAAATAAAAAACTTGGCTTATTACAAAATTTGTTTTTAATCATCATATGATAAAAAAATCATTGTTGCTTTCAGTGACATTATGTAATTATAAATCTGTCGGAAAATTTGACAATAATTTATCTTTGAAACAGTGTTTCGGTCCACCGTTCTCCAGAAACTTAAATTGTTCATTTTCTTTGTATTCTTTTAATACATTGTAGACTGAGGTCACACCAATTCCCAAAATGTCAGCTGTTTTCGAAATACATTCTTTTTTTCAGGAGCCTCAATAGGTAATAGTTTTCTCTCAATAGGTAAGCAGCTTTCTCCTCAAATATGTGTTTGTAGACGTTTTGTATCATAAGTTTTTCGGTAACGCTTAAAGCAATCCGTGGTCTCTTCTTTCTTGGAGACAAGCTTTGGCTTGACATGCTTGGTTGAGGATCCATTTCCATCCATCCATGAGGAGGATACATTGGTACGAAACAATATAGCAAATATACAATATACCCAACTATTACCACAAACACAACAGAAGGAAAAACTTATCAAAAACAATAACAAAACAGTGTGAGCGCAAAAAAAAACATTCGTGCTCTCAGACCAGAGATTAGAAGCCGAATTACGAACAAAATGGCGACCGACGCTAGCGACGTTGATCGGTGTTGGCACTAGTGGCTACTAGTGCCAACAGCGCGCTTTGTAATAAGCCGTCAAATAACTGATTGTAGTTACATAACACTAGTAACTTATATCAGAGCACTTTTATACAATTTTATTGTAAAATAGAAATAATATTATTGTGTAGTTTGAAATGATTAACTAGTCACACTCATTGTTCATTCATCTGACCTAGAACTGAACGCATCACTATTACTTTAAATATGGCAACATTATTTTACAACGTGACATTAGCTACTGTCAGTTAGCTTCGTCTAATTAAAAATACGACTATAGTTTCACATATTCTAATTAAAATTTCAAAAATTAATATTTCGAAAACTATGACTTTCCGCAAGTTGAAATTTTAGGTAGTAATTTAGATAGACAGATAGAATATACTTTATTTGCAACATAAATTTAGAAGAAGCACAAACAATATAACAAAGGACACATGTATCGTTACAATAAGGCGGCCTTATTGCTGAAAGCAATCTTTTCAAGGCAACCTTAGGGAAACGGATTGTAACATCGAACAGGTAGGTAAAATGACCTGAACAGGAGAAAACTAAAAGGTAACAAATATATAATGATGATAAAGGAACATAATAATAAATATTATATGAATTAAAATTTATGTACACAATAATATTCATATATTAAACTAGATACACTTACATAAACTACATACATATTTTTAAAGTTTAAATAGAATAAACTAAATATAAATTAAAGGTTCCGGTTCCGGTTTTCTAACTATAAACACATACGTCAGTGAGCTCAGCCATTAATAATAAAAATCAGTGAAAAAAACAGTCAAACTTTCATAAAACAGTGATAATTTTGCACTAAAATCAGAAAAGTTTGTGATTTATAAAAAATTACGGTGTAATAATAGTGTTATTGAGAAAAATAATAGAAATAGAAATAGAAATAATCTTTATTCAAATAAACTCATTACAAGCACTTTTGAATAGTCATATTTTGATTCTACCACTCATTCGGAATGCAGATTCATCACAAGAAGAATGAGCAAGAAACTTGTGTGTTGCTCTTTTTAATAGATGTTTTTTTTTATTTAAATAATTACAGTATAACAAGTAAGAGGCATGCGATAATCAACATAGAAGTCGCTACGCACTCATTATTAATGTAATCAGATAATATTGTCAGTGCTATAGATTTAAAGTTTTTCTATAAAAACATTATTATCGTTAACGAATTCTTCAATTTTATAGTAAGCTTTTTTGCAAAGGAACTGTTTTATTTGACATTTAAATCTTTTTTCTGGCAGATTTATAACAGACTCTGGTATTTTATTGTAAAACCTTACGCAATTGCCATAAAACGAATTACTAACTTTAGCCAAACGACATTTAGGTAAAATCAGTTTGTTATTGTTACGTAAGCTTTTATTAGTGCAATCACTAACTCTTTTGAAACTATCTATATTCCTTCTGGCATAGATGATATTTTCATAAATGTATTGAGAAGCAACGGTGAGGATATTTGATTCCTTAAAACCTCTCGCAATGACTCCCTGGAACCCATACCATAAATGGAGCGAATGGCCCTCTTTTGTAAAGTAAATATTGTATTTATATCAGCTGCTTTGCCCCATAACAAAATACCATACGACATAATGCTATGGAAATAGCTAAAATAGACAAGTTTAGCCGTTGCCACGTCTGTTAATTGTCTAATTCTTCTTACCGCATAAGCGGCAGAACTAAGTCGACTCGCCAATTTAGTAATATGAGCACCCCATTGCAACTTGGAATCTAATGTGATACCTAGAAATACAGTATCGTCAACAAAATTAATAGATTTATTGTCCAATACGATTTTTGAATCTACCGGCCTTACATTAGGGAGAGTAAATTTGATACATTTAGTTTTATTTGCATTTAGTAGCATATTATTTGCCGTAAACCATTTTAAAACATAAGAGAGAGAACCGTTTACTTCGTCCATATCATCAATATGTCGATTGACTTTGAATACTAATGAAGTATAATCAGCAAACAGAACTATGTCAGCTATCTTTTCTACCATATAAGGAAGATCGTTTATGTAAACTAAAAATAAGAAAGGACCTAGAATAGAGCCCTGAGGAACACCCATTTTAATACTAGTTCCCTCAGACTTTACACCATTTATTTTAACAACTTGCATTCTATTATTTAGATAGGATTTCATCATGCATAGTGCTTCATATCTAATACCGTAATGTTCTAATTTGAGTAAGAGTGTTTCATGATCAACGCAATCAAATGCTTTTGAGAGGTCGCAGAATACACCGATAGCATCCTGTGACCTCTCCCAACAGTCAAAAATGTGTTTCATTAAAGCTACACCAGCGTCAGTAGTTGATTTACCGGCTGTGAAACCAAATTGCCGACTGTGAAGCAGTCTATTTATTTTAAAGTGGTGAAGCATCTGATTGAGCATAATTTTTTCAAACACTTTACTTAGTACTGGTAAGATAGAAATGGGCCTATAATTACCTACTTCGGTTTTATCCCCTAACTTAAAAAGTGGAGTTATTTTACTATGTTTCATTAAATTGGGAAAAACACCGTCAAAAATACATTTATTGAAGATAGTTACTAAATATGAGCAATAACATCTATAGCGGTGTTAATAATTTTAACAGACATGCCCCAATGGTCTTCAGTATTTTTTAAATTTAATTGTTTAAATGTTTTCGTAATTGTAGCAATGTCAATAAATGTAAATTTAAATGTAACCGGACACGAAGCAACATTGTCAATAAGGAATGATTTAGCTGTACTTGGAGAAGAGTCCAAAGAGGACGTAATATCAGTTGGAATATTAGCGAAAAATTTTTCAAAAATACTGACTATTTCTTTTGTGGACGTTACTAGTTTATCATTATAATTTAACGTAAAATCATTATATGGACTTTTAACTTTGCCAGTTTCTTTATTAATAATATTCCACACTGTCCTAATCTTATCCTTGGATTCTTTAATTTTTTTATTTAGATAATTAGACCTTGCTACATTACATACCTTTTTAAAAATTTTTGAGTATCTTTTTACATAATTTACGAATGTACTATCGAAACGGTATTTTTTTTGATCATATAAATCAAATAATATATTTCTACTTTTAAGAATTCCCTTTGTAGCCCATTCTGAAAATTTTGTTTTGTTACTAATACTGATAGTTTTTTTGTTAAAAGCCTTATTAAAAGCCGTAAGAAACAATATTGAAGAAATCTGTATAAAGTTTGTTAGGTTCATCAGATTGAGGA